CCCCACACACCCGCACACACACCCACCCACCCACACACACACACACATCGGGTTTAATAATTCATTAATGAACACAGACAAAAGCGGCAAATTGATGAAGCAGAAAAGTCCTCCTCATTTCTCCCTTCCGCCCTCCAGTCGAGTTAATCAAATCCGCTGAACCCTGTCAAGACAAATGCATCGTAGTAACTCTTCTTTTCGAGTTGGTGGCACCAATTCCATGCGGATGTCAACCTTCCATCGATACAACTTCCACCATCATCACCGGATCCGTCAAAGGCGTGCCGAAAGAAATCCGACAATATCATCATTCTTAGCGCCTTGTATGAGTTAAACTTTGCTCGAAAAAAGTTTCGGAGTCCTGGGTGCTCCTCTGGGCTACTGGGAGAAAAGATTTTTTCTATTTCCATGATGGTGTGCATTATTGGTTGAACGATGCGGGGAATGACGGTGTATTTATCAATGAACACCAACGGGTTCGGCACATCGCGATCCCCCAGGTGAATGACCTTTATTCCCACCCAGCCGCCCATTTCTTGATCCGCCTCATTTACACATCTCGCCATACGGGAGTAACTCTTTGGTGCACGACACATGCGGTGAAAACCTTGTCCGGTGTTTACAAAGGTATAATGCCCATCACCATCAATAAGCATGTCATCTTCAGAAACCTGCCAAAAATCAAATATATTGCGCTGCACATTTTCCCATAATGTCAGAGATTCTACCACGTATTGGCAATGACGTTTGTGATCATGAGAAAACTTAGCGCCATTGACGCCAGCACGAATGGATAAGTCATATTTAGGGTTTCCATCCAGCGGAAGAAACTCTTCAAGGATAATCTGCCGCAACCAGCGTAGGGGTCGAACATTTCCTTCAATAAATTGTGAAACATCATCGATAGAGCGCAGACATCGCTCCACAACGGGTTTACATTCGCTCCCTCCATAACGGTCTAATAATTTTTGCAAAACCGCCGCCTTCTCCGTCCCGTGGGTCACCAAATATTTATCTACATCACGATCTGTAAGCAATTCTTCAGCCCCAACCCTTCGCAGTTCCATCCCAACTGTCTGAACTGGAATCAGCAAACTGTGGGATATGTGTAGTCGTTCCTGAATGGACCGTTTCTGAACATCCTGAAGCAGCATGGTTAGCTTCCCAAACTCACTTCTATTGCTGAAAGGATTAAGTCGCTTGTGGCGTCGAAAAATCTCAAACAAACCTATTAAAATACTTATCGTCAAACGAACATCCGTATTACCTCTGGCAACTTCCTCTCGCACCTCTCGTGAAACGCTACCCGATGCAATACAAAGGCCCAAAGTTGTATCAAAAAGCTCACGCATGCAACGATACATTCTTTCCTCACGACTGTTAGGATGTCGTATATCATCCACATCGTCTGTATATTCGCTAACCTTTAGGGCGGCTATGAGCAACTGTAGATCCTCACGTTCCGTATCGGTAAGTCGCAACAATACATTTTCGTAACCCATATTTAAAAGAATATCAGCCCACACACACCCCCCACCCCTCTCCCCAATAAACTGTCAAACAGCCTAAGAAGCAGGATTTAAAAAAAAAAAAAAAAAAAAAGGAAATAGGGTCACCCGTAACTATACATACAAACATATATATGTATATGTATACATGTATATGATATACAAACAAGGCAATAAAAAATAAATAAATAAATAAAAAAGGAATGAAAGAAAGAAAGAGTGGGTTAAAGGTGGAATGGCCACCAGCACTTCCTCAATATTTCAAATACACGCATATATTCCCTCGTATTTATTCCCTTTCAAATACATCAGGTTAGATTTTCTTCTTTTTTTTTTTTTGTCTTTTTTTTTTCTAACAGTTTCATTTTTGAGCGAAGATCAGGTAACTGAGAAACACACAAACCAAAAAAAAAAAAAAAAAAGAAAAAAACTAAACATGGTGGTTGCTCACACACTTTCTCCTTTTATCCCCATATTTAAAAACTTTCATTTAGAAGTTGTAAGAACCCAAAATTGCTCACAAGCACGTATATAAATAAATAAATAAATATAACACTCGAACGCACAAGAATAAATAAAGACAAAATAACAGAAAACAACAACCAAAACACACACACACACACACACACAAACAAACAAAAAAAGCCATCTTTCCTCCCTCACTCCTCACTCCCGGTCTCCTTTTATTATTATTATTATTATTAATATTTTATTCAGGCCTAAAAAAAAAAAAAAAAAAAAAAAAAGAACATCAGAAGTGCTAAACAATTATAAATAAATACACACCCATTGTATAATATGGAAGCATCAAATATCGGCCGCCGAAAGTACCTTCAGAGCAGAAACCTCATCCTTTATACTTGAGTAGAGTGCGGTGGAAAGATAGCGTTCACCATAAGATGGGATAACTGTAACAATGGTCTTTCCGGCCATTTCTGGACGCTTTGCAATTTGCAGAGCCGCATAAACATTTGCCCCTCCTGAAAATCCACAGAATATGCCGTCCGTACGGGGCAATTTTTGCGCAGTGTCAATCGCTTCATCACCAGAGACCTGAATCACCTCATCCACCAAGGCTGCTTCAAATACTTCCGGGACAAAGCCAGCCCCAATCCCTTGTATACGGTGGGGGCCCGGTTTACCACCCGAGAGAACGGGAGATTCTGCAGGTTCCACAGCAAATATCGTAGCGCCGCATCCAACCGATTTGAGGTATCGCGCCACACCAGTTATCGTTCCACCTGTCCCCACGCCAGCCACAAAGCAATCGACATTACCTTTGGTCTGCCGCCAAATCTCCGGTCCAGTTGTTTCTTCGTGAATTTGGGCATTATATTTGGTGGCAAACTGATTCGCAGAAACTGCAACTGGATTTTTGCTGACAATGCGATTTGCTGCTTCCAAAGCGCCCTTCATACCAAGTGCCGCGGGTGTAAGGATAACCTCAGCACCAAAAATACGCATCAAACAACGACGTTCTATTGACATGGACTCGGGCATAACAATAATCACCTTGTACCCTCGTATGGTTCCAATGTGGGCAAGGGCAATACCAGTGTTACCACTTGTGGCCTCCACAATGACACTTTTGCCAGGAATTATTTTTCCTTCCTTTTCCGCCTTATCATATATAGCGTAGGCAAGGCGATCCTTCACGGACGCCATGGGGTTCTCGCATTCCAACTTGAGAACAATTGTGGCACCAGTATCATTCATTTTTTTGAGATATACCGCCGGGGTCTCCCCGATGAGGGCATCAATGGATGGAGCAACATTATTTCTCGGATCAAATTCTTGCACAGACATTAAGAAACGACCTGAATAAAATAACGGTTATAACATTTACACCGAACAAAATATAGAATGAGACAAGAAAAGAAAAATCCATAAGCAACAAAACATTTTGTTGCTGTTTCTTTTGGGGGCTGGCTGTTTGTTTAACTTTTTTTTTTTTTCCAAAATGGAGACGATGTTGGCGGTTTTAAAAAAAGAAAAGGTACTGATTCTATGAGCAAAGCAAAAAAATTACAAAAAGACGTCTTTGTTTCACCCTCCTTTTTTTTTTTTTTTTTTTTGAGCTTTCTTTTGTCTGTGTGTGTTTCTTTTCTTCCCCCCCCCCCCCATTGAGATGCACCATGAGCATCTAAAAGATACTTTTACACGGTGCTAATGAAACACCTTGCCGCCATTTTGCAAGGCGCTGCAACGCGGCTTCATAAACTCGAGGGTAACGTTTGAGGTGGAACGCTATCCGATTCTCACTAGGATCATGCCCCCAGCAACACTTTTTGGTGTATCCGTTAAATAGTATTTCCATCATGTGGCATACAACGCAAAACTGACACTCCTTGCTGGCGTGCCTTTCAGGGGTAGAATACTGTGTGTGATACTTGGAACAGCAGACGTCGTGTTCTTTTTTGAGATTGGAGGTGTGTCGCTGGCGAGCTCCCTGCGCTTGCCGTGATTCCGGGCGATCCATCATTCTTTTCTTGGATAAAGGATGAGCCAACCCAATCACGCGACCAACAAACTCATCCTCTGGGGAAGTGATGTTATCGTCATCCGTTTCGCCCTCCTCCTCTTTCAAGGTGAGCTCAGGTGCCAACTTTCCCACTGGACTTTTGTAGTGAGGATGTACTGCCGGTATTACATTGCAACATATAGAAAAAAAGCCGTACGGTGTATCGCAACAGGCCTGATCCAAACAAGCAACTATATTCGTCACACTTTTCTCTACCAGCTGTGGCTTCTCTTTGGCGGCCCTTAAATGTGCCTCCAACGCCATGTATGCCAAGGACTTTACAAGCACTACAAGTTTCAGCGCTGTTTCCATAGCCGCTATTTGGTTATCAGCTCCCAATTTCCCCCAATTTAGCAAAAGTTTCCGCAGTGAAAAAAACTCATACAAAATGTACACCTCTGGATACTTCCCACGTGCACAGCCAAAAACGTCTTGATTTCGCAGGTCCGCTAATTGATTGCGAAGGCCACGTATGGCGGTCAATAAAGCCTTGTTTTCACAATCGAGAAAGTATAAACGCAACAGCAACTCTAACGAAGAAAGAAGAGCTCGTCTTTCGCTTTCAGCCTTAAATCTATGAAAAACAGGGCGGGACTTCACCAAAGAGGTGCAATTCAGCACCGCAGCTACAACGTTCTCTCTGCCCTTTTTGATCTCCTCAGCAAAAATAACACGATCATCTTCCGTTTGTGTAGACCCCCGACTTCGTCCAGAATCGCAACGCCCCTGAACAGATGAACACGGATTGGTCCTTGTGGGTACCTCAGTGCCATCAAGCCCTTGTCCATGTGCCTCTTCTGCGCAATAAACTTCAGAACCTGGCATCTCTTAAAAGACAACAACAACAAAAAATACAAACAAACACACACACACACACACACGTAAAAAAAAAAAAAAAAAAAAAAAAAAAAGAGATTTCCACGTGATGATTAAGCAAGAAATGAGACAATCTTGTCAACACGCATAGGCACACGCTGTGTCACTCCCATATCAATAAGAGAACAAGCATGTTGGACAAAAAAGAAAAAAAAAATCATTGTTTCAACTTGCAACCATCACCTCGTTCAATTTTCCTCTTCTTTTTCCTTTGCTTCAGTTTTTTTTTTTTTTTCCTTTCTTTTAAAACACAAGAACACATATATTCTACATACATTTTCCTTTCTTCCGTGCCCGCAAATGCGGTGTTTTCTTTCTTTTTTCCATCCTTCTTTTTTTTTTTTTTTTTTTTTTTTTTCTGGTGGGGTGAGTTTACTTTCCACAGACACATACACCGATCCCCCGTATATGGAATTATTGGGGCACCCATTCACTCATCGATGGGTGCTCCTAGACTTTTTACATTTGATTTGTTTTTGTTTTTGTTATTATTATTATTCCATCCTAATTTTTCTCGTTCCTCAACGGCTGTTTTTTATCGCTGAGCAAAATTCAGCATGAGGCAGCAAAACTCATCGAATGTCATAAAATTGTCATCACTCTTCGCATACTTCCGGATCTCATTTGCTACTTCTGCGTCCGTGGGATCCAGACCATAGTGTTCCAAACCCTTGTAAAATGCTTTGACATCTTCAATAGCAAGGTAGCCATTGTGCTCCGTGTCGAGTGAGTCAAAAAGCTCTTGAAGCTTGTTTTCAGTAATAGGCAAACCACCAATGTTGTTCTCAAGTTCCTCATAATTGAGGTGACGATTGTTGTTGTGGCCTGCGATTAGACTGCGTTGCATTTTTATTTTGGTTTATAAACCTTTTCTTCTTTTTTTCCTCCTTTTTTTTTTCTTTTTCTTTTCTTTGTTTGCTTCGTTTTTTGTTTTTTACTGGATTTTTGTTGGTGTTGCTTTCTTTTTTCCTTTATCACACCACAATAATGAGAAGAGAGCAAACAATAGTTCAGGTGGGAGAATAAATCAAAAGTCATTGAATATAAAACCAGAATTATACTTTATAAAGACACCATCCCGAATAAAAATACAGAAAACTACTGTAAAAGCGCTGCCGCACGAAGTTCCAATAATTTGGTTCGCGCTTCAAGAGTCTGCAACTCTTCCCTTTCCTTCATGGCACTTCGTTTTTGCTCATTGAAACGAATTAACTCCTTAGCACGAAGAGCGTCATCTAGAAGAAGTACTTTGGCGTGATCCAGTCGGGCCTTAGCCTCCATTGCCAGTCGATTCCTCACCAAACGTCGAAGTGGAGCGACTTTCTCCTCGTATCGTTTCAACACAACATCACCCTTTGCATCCACAGGGTTTAATGCAAGCGCATCAAAGGCATTTTCAGAAGCTATAATTCTTCTTGCTTCTTTTTCCACCCCATCGGCCAAAATGAGTGACATTAATCTCATTTGAACAGAAAATAGAAAAATACAAAAAATAAATAAATACAAATAATATGCACCGATGAGTCTCTATTCCCTTATTCGTTGTTGGGAAGCAAATAGGAAGGGATTTATTATTATTATTATTATTTGCTTGTCTTTGTAAAGAGGCAATTATTGCCTCACATATCCTCCGTGCACAAAACACAAATATGCAGAAAAAAAATCACCCCCGATTAAATTAGGATCCAGTGCCGTCACGCATAATATCCATAGCCACAAGCGCCCCAAGATGAAGCTGCAGTTTTTTCGTGTAGCTAGATCTTGAGGTTGCCGGATTAACAACCCATTGAACAACCGTTCCATCCGTCGCACATGCCGCAATAATTAGTACAGATGTTTCGGGTGGAGATGCGAGTATACAGAGAGAAGTAAACGTATTCATAAAGGCCATGCAATGTCGTCTTGTGATAAACTCAGTACATACAAAAACCCTTTTCAACTTACGAACAGAAGAAACAGCAAGTGTTTCGTCTTCCCCAGCACTAATAACCCACTGTGAATCTTCCGAAAACCTGACTGCAGTGGGAACCAGTCGGTGGGCATCGGTTATTTGTCCAATATTTTCTACTGTGCTCATCTCTGGGTGGCAAGGCATTATCATTCCATTTTCTCGTGGTTTATATAATGTAATTACTGGGCTATCGCAGGCTATCGCCATAAAACCTGTTCTCCATGAAACTTCAAAGGCGTGAACGCTTTCTCCATG